TCCATTCTTCAGATCCGTGAATGGGCCTGTTTCTGTCTCTCTTCGTCCTCTTCACTACGTTACTCTAACAAGGATCAGTCCCTTCACCTGGCCTCTGGATCTCCATCCCTCCTTTCTCCTGGACTTCTCTGCTTCTGCTCCCTATCTTCAGTCTCCCTTTGCTTGTGACTGCATAGAAGCATGCTTTAGTGTTTCCCATATGTTAAACCATCCCTTGGCTCTGAATGTCTCTAACTCCCCTTCACAGCCAAACTTCTTAGGCATCTTCTCTCACACTGCCTCCATTTCTCACCACTGATTCCTCTTCAGCCCCTGCCAGCTGTGCACTGAACAGCTTTGATCAGATCACCAACTATCTCCATATTACTAAGTCCAGGATCGCTTTTTTCCTTATACAGCCTCAGCAGAATTGGCCCGTTTCCACATCCTTCTCCACAAAGCACTCCTTTCTCAGCTTCTGTGATGCCATACATACTCTCCTAGTTACCCCCTGCTTCCTTGGTTATTTCCTGTTTCCTTTCTCTAGTTCCTCTACTTTTACTCAACTACTAAATATCGGAGTGTCTCAGAATTAAGACTGGGCCTTCTTCCCTGTCAATACTACGTAACCGCTTCCATTTCTGTGACTTTGTTTTTTTTTTTTTTTTTTTTTTTTTTTTTTTGCATAGTTGGCAGTCCATGACTCTTAATATTATTTGTGTGCTGATGATTTCCAAATGTGTATCTCCAGCTCCGACGTGTCCTGTTTGCTTCCCACTGGTAGATCTAACCACCTTCCTTATGGATGTCTCTAGACATCCATCCCCAAACTAACATGGCCTATACTCCACTCTTTCTCATCTCAGTAAATGACACCACATCCATCCATTTGCTCAGGCCCCAAAACTAGGTCTCATCCATATTTCTTTCCCCCATCACCTCCCATATCCAGTTCATCACCAAGTTCTCTCTGTTCTGCCAACAAAATATAGCCTGTCCACTCTGCTCCATCCTGATCTAATCTAAATGACAATCATTTCTTATTTGAAGCCCCATGTTAGCCTCCTAGGGAGTCTCTCTGCCTGTACTCTTGCCCCATCCCAATCCATGTTCTATACAGCAGTAAAAGTGTTCCTCTTTTTAAAATATATCATGTTGGGACTTCCCTGGTGGCGCAGTGGTTAAGAATCCGCCTGCCAATGCAGGGGACACGGGTTCAAGCCCTGGTCTGGGAAGATCCCACATGCCATGGAGCAACTAAGCCCCTGTGCCACAACTACTGAGCCTGTGCTCTAGAGCCCTCGAGCTACAACTGCTGAGCCCGCACGCCTAGAGCCCGAGCCCGTGCTCCACAAAAAGAGAAGCCACCGCAATGAGAAGCCCACGCACCACAAGGAAGAGTAGCTCCCGCTCGCCTCAACTAGATAAAGTCCATGCACAGCAACGAAGACCCAATGCAGCCAAAAATTATATATATATATATCTATATATATATATATATCATGTTTTTCCCCTGCTTGGCATTCTTTAGTGACTTCCCATTTCACGTGAGGTAAAGTCCAAGCTCCTTACTTTGCTCTGTGAAAATACTCCATGATCTAGTCCCTGCCAGCCTTATTTCACACCGCTCTCCCCTTCACTCACTACATACCATCTACACTGGCCTTCTGTGCTCCCCTAAGGAATGCCAAAGCCCACCACCACCATCCCCAAGAGCCTGCGCACATGAATCTTCTAGCCTAGAATACCCTTCCCCTGGCTTTTTTGCGTGGCCTCCTTCTTATCCTTCATGTCTCACCTTTAGTGTCAACTCCTCAGAGAGGCTTTTCCTGACCACTCTACCTACAGTAGTGCATGTGTGCACACACATTACTCTCATCATAGCACAATGGGTTTATATTCTTACTGGCCTCGGTTACAAGTGACATGTATCTTGTTTGTTATTCATTGCTTCTCTTCCCCGCTGGAATGTGAGTAAGGACCTTGTTTGCTTTGTTTACTGTTGTGTTGTATTCCCAGTTCCTAGCACTTGCCTGGCATGTGGTAGCCACTAAATTAAAGCTTACTGACAGAGAGAAAGATGGGAAAGGAAGGAAAGAAAACACGTTAAAAATACGGAACTTCCTGTTTTAAAAAGTCTTACACTGACCTAGTAAGAGCAGTTGAATAAAAGTAGAAGAGAAAAAGAACATTTCATGGAATCGAACCATTGCAGCCTCTTGCTGGTTTCCTGGTTATGAAATAAACACTAAACCTAAGTCTAGTGGCTTCACATTTTAAACTTTTGGCATCTGTCTCCTTTCTTGCTTTTCCTACGTGTGTTTCATCCTCCTAACTCTCCCTCAAGGATCAGAGAGGAAAATGTTTGTAGACTATGCCTGTTTCCTTTGTTTGATATTGTGTACTCAGAATCCTTGGTCCACTGTACTTGATAGGAGTTAGGTGCAGAAACTTGGCTAGATTGAGAGGGATTATCAGAAAACAAATGAAAGTTGTGATTATGCCATCTCTTGGCCATTAGCTTAGTTTAGCTCATGTTTAAGGATTCAGCAACAGCTATGAAGAGCCTGCTGTGGATAAATAAAGTGACAAGTGCTCTGGCGAAAAATAAGGCAGAATGAGGCGATAGATGAGTGATAGAGAATGAGGAGGAGAGGATGTGAGATAGGGCGGGCAGTCTCTGAGGCGGTATCCCATGCACCAGGACCTGAATGCGGTAAAGGAGCAAATTGTGGGAAGTTGTGGTCAAAGAGCATCCCAGAGGTTTGTTGTATTGAACCATCTTTTCCCAGCTTTCCCTCTGTTATCCCCCCTTCTAATCAGGATGTTCCTGCTTCTAGCCCACACCACAATTCTACCGTTGTTTTTAAGGCCGAGCCCAGGGCCTTCCATACTGTTATGCAGCTTGTATACTGCACACCTACAGGGGGCACCAGTCACACGTGTTATCATTGTAGGTTTCACTACTTCGTCACGGTTTTCCAGCAGATGGCAGTAAAGTTCACGAGGAAGGGTGGCTTTTTCTAATTTGCACAAAGGTAGATTTGCATTTAGGCTACCGTTTTTATGCCTTTTTCCTTCTGTAATACATTAAGGTCTTTTTCTCTCTAGGCCCAGCCTTATCCTCTAAGCTTTTCTCTTTCTGTCCTTCTTTCAAATATTTCAAACTTAAAGAATTTTAAGCACAGTAAGAAAAACTCCTATATAACCTTTGCTCTAGTTCACCACTTGTTAACATTTGACCACTTTTGCTTTCACTCCCTCCCTCTCTCTATAGAACATGTTTTTTCCTGAACCATTTAAGAACTGCTTGCAAATGTCCTTCCCCTTTATAAACCCTAAATATTTTGGAGTATGCCTCCTTCAAACAGAAATTGTTTGGAATTGTTTTGCATAGCCACAGTATATTTATTGAATTTAGGAAATTCAACATTGATACAGTACTTTTATCCATTATATAGTGTACATTCAATTTTTTTCACTTGTCCCAGTGATGTTCTTTATAGCTGTTTTTACCCCCTTATCCAGTCTATGATCACAGTTTGCGTTTATGTGTTGTCAAGTCTCTTTACTCTCCTTTTTTTTTTTTTGCGGTGCGCGGGCCTCTCACCGCCGTGGCCTCTCCCGTTGCGGAGCACAGGCTCCGGACGCGCAGGCTCAGCGGCCATGGCTCACGGGCCCAGCCGCTCTGCGGCACGTGGGATCTTCCCGGACCGGGGCACAAACCCGTGTCCCCTGCATCGGCAGGCGGACCCTCAACCACTGCGCCACCAGGGAAGCCCTCTTTGCTCTCCTTTAATCTGAAAAAGTTCTTCAGCTTTTTCTTGTCTTTCATACCACTGATACTTTTCAAGAATACTGGTCAGTTGTTCTGTAGACTTTTCTCAAACTGGTTTTATCTGGTGCCTTCTCATTAGATTCAGGTTATATGGTTTGGCAAGAATACCATTGAAGTGATGTGCCGTTCTCAGTGCATTACATCAAGAGGCACATGGTATCTGTTTGTTCCATTAACAAGCATTCTGTGTTGAAACTGTTCTTGTAGTCATATGAACTGTGACATACATATATGGATTATAGTTAAAATTTGAGTGTTTACCATGTGTTGTATACAGTGCTAATAAGCATTCTGCATACATTAGCTTTATATGTTCCTTAAAACAACTCTAAGAAATAGATGTCACTTTCTTCATTTTATAAATGAGAAAACAAAGGTTTAGAAGGGTTACTTAAGGTAACACGGCTAAAAATTACCAGAACTCAAACTCCTGTCTCTCCAATTCCAAAGTCCTCACTCTTCTTTCAAAGGAAAGAGTAGCACAGAAGAAACTTGCATAGGGCTATTAGTGTTGAAGTTACACTTCACGGATTGAAATTCAAATGTTGTGTCATTGCTAGATTGGAGGTAATTGCTAGCGCTCACACTCGGAGTTTCTGAGGTGTCTTTAAGGGGAAGAACTTAGATTTTTCAGGTTTGGATTTCCCAACCATAAGACCCACTTGCCTGAGACAGTCTTGGTTTCTACCTATTTCCTAAGTTATTAATAGTGCCCCCATTCATTTTCAAAAGTATCATCATTTAGTAATTATATGGTCCCCCCCACCCAAAATCCTTCCTTGAGTTCTCTTCAGATCAACATAGAGACTGGTGTTTCATTGTAACCAACACTAACAGAACTTGGTATGTTTTTATAAGCATGGTTTGCTTAATTTAGTCAACAGCAAGATTTTCCCACAGTTGCTCTACTGAAACATTTAAAGTAAATGATATTTTACCCCATCATACTTCAGTAGCCACGACTAAAAAATCAGTTTCTAAGTTTCTGTAAACCTATCCAGTGTGAATCATCATCCCTGATGTAACTTGATTTTCATTTATCATTGTCTTAAGGCGGGGGTGCACCTGTAATTGAATGCGAGTGTAATGCTTCTCCAGTGTGCAGGGCACAGCAAGGGAGAACAGTCCTAGCCTCGTGGCTCATGGGTGTTCATATAACTTACGATCCATTTTCCTTTGGCAGTGCACGACTTAATTTTCTGGCGAGATGTGAAGAAGACTGGGTTTGTCTTTGGCACCACACTGATCATGCTGCTCTCCCTGGCAGCTTTCAGTGTCATCAGTGTGGTTTCTTACCTCATCCTGGCTCTTCTGTCTGTCACCATCAGCTTCAGGGTCTACAAGTCTGTCATCCAAGCTGTACAGAAGTCGGAAGAAGGCCATCCATTCAAGTGAGTTGCAGTATCACAAGTAACACTCTACAGTTTAGGGAAGGGGTTCAGTGAGGCTGGTCAGACCTAAATGAGACCTGATTAAAAATCAAGAATTTTAGGGCCTAATGCAGCCAATCAGAAGCATCAACTTGAGACCGCCTTATGAAGTGAACAAGTTGGGAGCCAGGAACTTTTTAACAAACTAGAGGCTTACCAAGAAGGACCATCTAAATTCCTGAGCAGGGTCAGTAGGGAA